TCTTCTTCTTCTTCTTCTTCTTCTTCTTCTTCTTCTTCTTCTTCTTCTTCTTCTTCTTCCTCCTCCTCCTCCTCCTCCTCCTCCTCCTCCTCCTCTTCCTCCTGCTCCTCCTGCTCCTCCTCCTCCTCTTCTTCTTATCATAGAAGCTTTTTAACATATATGTTGGAAAAAGCCTTTGTTTTTCTATTCAGGATATTTTACCCCCAAGGAGTTTGCTGTTTCATTCTCTAATAGTATATTAGAAAGAAGTTTTAGAAATCTGGAGAAATGGATCAGCAGTTAAGAGCACTGGCTGCTTTTCCAGGTACCCAGGTTTAATTTCCAGCACCTATATGGCAGCTCACACCTGTTCTAGGGGATCTAACACTCTAATATAGACATACATGCAGGCGAAACATTAACATACATAAAATAAAAATAAATACATTATTTTTAAGAAGGAAAGACATTTTAGGGCTATCAAGGTGACTCTGTCAGTTAAGTGCTTGTTACGTGAACATGAGGATCTATGTTTCATCCCAACATGGGCTAGGCATGATGATTCTTGGCTCTTGGATTTTGTTGCCACAATGAATATCTAAGGAAATATAAAGGGGTGTAGCTTGGCTCATGATTTCTACTTCATCTGTCTCTGTTGTGTTTGGGTTATGTGCTGAAACAGAACATCATAGAAGGCGGCTGTGAGGAACAAAATTGTTTTCCTCAGAGTGGCTGGCAAACAGAGTGAGATTGAGGCACCAGGAAGAACCTACACAGGCCCACCCTCAGTTACTTGCTTCAAATTAACCTCCACCCCAAAGCTTTCAAGTCTCATAATAGCATTACCAGCTGTGTACTGAGCCTGTAACATGTGAGCCTGTGGGGGGGACTTTAGATTCACACAGTAACCGTCTTCCATAAATGATGTCCAAGCTCTCTCAGAACTCATTTTGCTCTTTTTGTTCATGGGACAAAGAGACAGACAGACAGACAGACAGACAGACAGACAGATAGAGTTAGTTTTCAGTAGGCTGCCCTGGTATAGTCCTTTAGCAATGGACTTCCCTCCTCTGAAAGTGCCACAGTTATCTAGAACATTAGAGTCCTGCACTGGGTCTTCAGCTTATGGGGAGACCATACAGGAAGGCTTTTGAGGTCAGATGTGAAAGTAGCCTTATATGGCCTAAATTTAACTCCACCAAAGACAGGTAAAGATCTAGCTTGATTTTAGATATTCCAGTTCAGTAATAACCAATTGGATTGACTGAAAAATAAAGCCAGAGATAAATTGTATAAGCCTACTTAAATTGCCATTTTAAGAAATGGATGTCCATGGTAGTAGAATCTTCATACTATTCACGGTCCAAGTTTCAGGGAAACAAAAACTTGGAAAGTTAAAAAGTATCACACATTTCCAAAATCCAATCCGCAAAGGACAGGCCTAGAACTACCATTTTAGGAATGTAGACCCATACGCTATATAGTGTAGCCATTGGCTTGCATTGTAGAGCATGCAATGGTATGCTGGGTACACTGTGGGTACCAGAATCCAGTAATGAACTGTGCTCACTGGCACCCCTGGGACCCCCTCAAAAATCAAGCTTACTTACGTACTTTTATGAGGGTATGGGGAGAGTCATTAGACCCTGCTGATGGGATCCCTGTCATTCTTCTCCTGAATGTGATTTTGGGAAACACTAGAGTAGCTATGAGGGGGAAAGTAGCTGAATCGAAGGCTCCATGTATGCAGCTTCCCTGTATGTCATCACGGATGCTGGGATGGGACCTTTTGGGGATGCAGTTTGTTTTAGGGTCATCCATGGTTCTTCCTGTAAGTAAGCCCAATAAACCTGTTGGTTCAGTAAGCTGGACTTGGATGTATCTATTTCTTTGTTGTCTCTTGGCCTCTCCAGTGAAATAATCAGACTCCCCAGAAACAGACACACATGAAAGCAAGAGTTAAAGGGAGTGAGCTTGATGGACCCAAGTTCCATGCTAACCTGTTGATGGGGCTGTGCTTGAAGTTTTCTAGAGGCTATGGTTTTCTGTTCTATATACTTCAAATGAACTTTAAAATAAACTAGCCTTGTACCTTAATATTTGTGAAATAAAATTTAGTCTTATGCTCATGTTTTTTAGAGGCTATATAATATATTCTATGAATCAAAAATTTTTTACAAAATATTACCTCCTGTCTTTGTTAATTCACTTTTGCTTCTGGAACAAAATTTCAGTTTGGTTGGCGTATAATCTCACATTTATCTCAATCTTACTAGTTAAGTGAATGCTTTAATGGTCTATCATTGAGTTTGTTTTGTTTGGTTGGTTTTTGTTTTTTGTTTTTTGAGACAGATTTTTCTCTGAATATCCCTGGCTATCCTGGAACTAGCTAGACCAGGCTGGCCTTGAACTCAGAGATTTACCTGCCTTTGCCTCCCAAGTGCCAGGATCAAAGGTGTACGCCACCACTGCCTGGCTATCATTAATGAACTGGCCTTGATATCTTTCTGAAGACCCCTTCTAAAATAGTAACAATGCTTCATTGTATACTTCTAAAATTTTCAAGTTTTTAATGAAGAAAAACTGAGCTTTGAATTGAAGACAGTTTTGGTACCCAGAGACATGAATTTCTTAATAGCAATAATGAATACATTTATATGGATGTCTCATTTTTTAAAAAAAATTAATAAGCTTGGAAATTTCTGAGCAGAAACCAATACAAATAAATTTAAACTTTTTAAATTATTATTTTGTTATTCTGAGGATGTTGGCTTCATCATGTGCTTATTTACTGTGCTTCTGTGAGAACTGGGTATTAACTAACAATCTAAAACAGGAGTGAGAAAAGTTGTCTCCTAATTAAGGATTAAAAATTTAGGTACACTCTTAATGTTGCAGTGTGTCTATTTTACACATTAGAAATCGCATTGTTTCTAAAGCTCATTAAAATTTCATGTTGATATCCTACCAGCAACTTTTATTTCCCATGAATGTTTTTATTTATTCATCAAATAATCCAAGTGTCCTTCAGTGTTTGTTACAGTCCTGAGTTTCCAACCCACTCTTGGGGGATGCGCTTCCCCGATGCTTTTCTTAACATTGCTTTGTCATTTAGACCAGAGATTTTTGCCTTTGTGTCTTGTAAGGTTGGAAAAATGAAATATCCGTAATAATTAGCAGTGTAGCAATGCCTCCTACGCCTTGTTCTTTTTAAATTAAAAATTGCATTTATTTCTATGCTTGTTTGTTTATTCAGAGGTCAGAGGAGAATTTGCAGGAGTTGGCTCTCTCCTTTCTACCACATGGATCCCAGGGACTGAACTCAGACTGCCAGGTTTGGTTGCACAAAGTTTATCTTGTTTTTTTAAAATAACCTATATCTGTAAGTCTGTGAAATCCTTCTGCTTGACACAAATCTCTGCATGAAGTTGAATTTGCCACTAGGTGTGGAGGCTTCCAGGGGAGAGTGGCAGCTGGACACTTGTCAGATGGCAGAGGGAGGTCATGTGATGAGGAATAGTTACATTGTGGGTAATAAGACTGGCACTGATTCTGTTTCTTCTATAGTGTTAGTGGCATGGATTCTGTCTAGCTCATGATTCTGGAAGGGAGTTGACTGGTTCCATTTTCCTCAAAAGCAAGACTGATCCAAGAATGTATGCTAGATAGTCTTGAAAAAGAAGTTACTGATCTTTGAAGGAGAGTAATGGAGGACCAGAGTCAATTTATACAAAGAGATAGAATTGGAGCAGCCAGCCCTGTTTTCTGAGTCCCAGAGTTCCAGGCTGTTGTGGAATCTTGTCTCACTCCTTGTTTTGAGTTTTCTTAGGCAAGCATTGTCGTTTTGATTAAATTTCTCTCTGTTTTAGATTATTCCAGATGGATACCTACTTTGTAACCTGGTAGCAATCTCATTTTCAAAACTCACAAAATAATGAATTCAGGATCTGCTTGAAGACGCTATCCAATATCTCATGTTTGAATAAAGACTTGAGACCCTCCTGTGTTCTTACTAGCTATTTCCTTTATCTTAAGAACAACTTGGAGAAACATCTTGGCTCCAGTAAATCTCTTAAAGGCTTGCCTTTCCAAAGATTTCCATTTGATCCATTTGTCTTCAGTGTGGACTTTTCCTCAGCCTGTTTGCCACATTTTGATGAGTGTAGTTAAAAGAAAAATAACTAGTCATAAAGAATATGTTCTAAGCTTACTTGGAAGCCAATACCTCTTATAACATAAGGTCATATGTCTATTCCAGTCATAAATCAAGAGGAATTGTGTTTCACACTGTGACCCAGCTGTGTAGAAACACTTTATTGTTTTTTGAGCTACTCATTTTATTTGACACGTATGAGGGTTTCACTTGTGTGTTTGAATTTGCATCATATGCATGTCTGGTGCCTACAGAGGTTAGAAGAAGACACTGAGTCTCATGCAATCAAAGTTACAGATGGTTATAAGCCACCATGTGGGTGCTGGGAACCAAACTCGGGTCCTCTGCAAGAACAGCAAGTGCTCTTAACCACTGACTCATCTCTCCAGCCTCCAGAAATATTTGTCTTTGAAAAATCTTTACCATTTTGCTAACGAGAAAAATCCTCTGATCCCCACTTAGGACAGATCCTGGGATTGTCTGTAGTGTAAGGTGCACTAGATTAGAAATTTAGTTGTTAAAAAAAGATGAGTTTTTTTTTTCAGGCATTCAGCTTTCTTCGTGAAGTTATGTGCGGTTACATGCCCAAGACATGTGTGCCACATATGATATTCACACAAATAAAAGAGAGACTCAGGATGTGTTTTTGCTCTCTCTGCCATAGACACATAGGAAAGGAAACAGGATCATAGACGTAAGAGAAATCTTATTGCTGGTGATTCACTAAGAACTGAACATTAGAAAATGTTGTTTCTGATTTTTGTTTTAATAGATACTCAGTTTAATGACTGGTTTCACCAGCACAGCAAGAAGACTGTCAGAAATGTGGAAACTGATGCTGAGTTTGAGAGGAATGATTGGATGGATGCTTGTTAGGATTGTTGCTGGGGTAATTACTCAGTTCCCTGATACGTTAGACACTGACTTCACATCTTTCCATTGTCTTCCAGACTGCAGGCTGACATCCTTCAAGTGGACAGAGCTACAACATAGCTGGCAGCCACCAGTAACTTCATGAGGAAAGCTGGCTGCCTGGAAAGAGAAGAGTGAGGCCCAGGAACCTGCCAGGCTCCAGACTTATTCTCCACAGTTAGTGAAATGGGAAGATGCTTGGTTCTTTTGCACAAGAGTTTGAATAAACAAAGCTACTCATCTTCCTTTTCACCCTTACTGGCTGTATCAAGAAAGGATTATATTATACGTGTGTGTGTGTGTGTGTGTGTGTGTGTGTGTTTACTCACTTGCGTGAAGAGCATTTATAGGTTAGAGGGTGACATCAGGTGTCTTCCTCAGGGTCTCTTACTGGGTCTGGAGCTCTCTATTTAGGTCAGGCTTGCTGGCCAGTGAGGCCCCAGAATCTGCCTGTCTCTTCAGTTCATCACTAGAGTTATAGATTTGTACCACATTCCTAATTTTTACATGGGACCCAAACCCAGGTCCTCCTGTTTACACAGGAAGCACGTTCCCCCTCTGAGCCATCTCCCCACCAAAACTGTAGGCAGGCAGGCAGTGTTTTCCCTTGTTGTTGCTACTAACAGGATGTATTTTTTCTCAGATTGTGTCATTTATGTTAGTATTAAAAGAGGACTTTAAGGGTGGACTGTGGGGTGGGGGGTAAGATCTGGAGTGTAAATGAATAAATAAATAAATAAATAAATAATAAAAAAGAGGGCTTTCGGGTATCTTTTATTCCCAAGACTTTTAAACTATTAATTTAATCATAAGTTTCCCTAGCCTATCGTTATATATCTTATCAAAGCTATAATTCTGATACTCGTAAGATATCTGTTGATGAAGCCAAGCTTAATAAAACAAATTCAAATGGTTGTGGCAACAGTGAAACAGATGTTGCGATGAAACATTACGATTTTGGCGTTTCTCAGCTGCTGTGCCTTGTGGGAAGTTCCTCCTGACAACTGAGACCGGAAACGTTGGTGCGGACAACTGAGAGAGACCGGAAACGTTGGTGCTGATTGATGACGGTGTCTTTGCGCGCCTGCCCTTCCTTTCCCGATTTCTCTCCACCAGGTACAGCTTTATATCTTCTCTTTGCTCGTCCCAACGGTCGTAGTCTGTTGCCCTCAGCCACAAGCAGTGGTGCAATGGCCTAGCACATAAAAGATACAGAACTAAGAACGCAGACAGGTTCGATCCATGGAGCTGTGTTCGGATGATGTCGCCAAGTCATTGTCCTAAAACCTGTGGCGGATCCAACTCTTAAGCCAAAAAACTACCGTTCTAGATTTTAATTGACATCAGTAACTGCTATTTCTAGGTGTTGGTAAAGCTGCCAGTGACAGAACTCGGTTTCTGCATCAAAAGGGCAACACACTGGACTTTAAAGGGGAATATAAGAGTGTAAAGTATCTGTGAAGAATTTCTCATGGCAGGACTTCCCTGATAGATTTATTATTTTCCTTCCTGCATTGATATCTGACCATTTCAGCAGATTTGACTCCATGACGTCATCAGGGAAGGGTTGAAAAGGGTGATGATTCAGGTGATTTAGAATAAGAGGCATCTCTCAGTTTATGTGCCTGCTATACATATGAACTTTTGACCCCATGAATGTTATGACGAACTAAGCTATTTGTGGAGGGAATTGATTCTGACTCCTCAGAAGTCAGAACAAGGATCAGATTGCCACAAACCCACACAAAATATGATATTAATCCTTAGGTGAGCTTGATTTTAAATATATTTATCTTATGTGCGTGCATATTTCTGTATATGTGCCTATGTGAGTATGTGCACAAATGTGTATGTAGGTTTCTTTGGGGGCCAGAAGAAGACATCAAATCCCTTGGATCTGGTGTGAAACAGCCGTTTATGAACAGCCTGACTTGAGTGCAGGGATTTAAACCTCAGTCCTCATGACTGGTCAGAAATCACTCTTAGTCAGGGAACCAACTCTCTAGCACCCAGTGAGCTTGATTGTTGATAGCAAAAATAATCCCTTATCATTTAATAAATATCTATGCCCACTTAAATACAAAATCATTAATACTATATTGCTAATGTTTTACTGCTACAGTAAGCATCCATTAAATTCGACAGCTGATATTGATCTTGAGGTTAGATGCTACACACAAGTCCCCGTATCTACCATAATCAAACACACTATCCTCTCAAGGTAGAGATCAGTTCTGATCATAGCTAAAAAACAATCTGTTCCTCTCCACTCAGGCTGAAAACCAGCATCCATTTTCCAAAAGCATTTAGATATTCTGAACTTGGTTTCCTGAGGTCATAAATAACAGCAGCAACAGTAACAACAACAACAACAACAACAACAAAGTGTCTTAAATCTAGTTATTTACATTTTTTTTTTTCAATTGCGAACCCTATAAAACGTTGCTATGCTGGCAAAATGCCTCAGAGGGTGAGTAGTCTTTGGCAAGTCTAGTGACCTGAGTTCGTTCCCTGGGGCCCACATTGCCTATCAAAAGGAAAACTCTGAATTTTGTCCATAGTCCCCTATATGCAGTCTTTGGCAAAAGTCCATCCCTCCTCAGTAAATAAATAAACATTAAAACATGAATAAATAACCCCAAACTCTTAATACTTAAGACTGGTTAACTATGATTTATGATGTCTAGTTCATGGCTTATGGCAGAAAATTAAAAATTAGACCCTAATATTATTAAATTGCAAAACCATGATATTTCCAAATCAAAAATAGCATCCAAAACAAGTTTATGTCCACTCTGAATCAAACGTGAATCAATCACCGGCATGTTGGCTCACACTACGGTTTTTAGTTTCTAAAATGCCAGCAGCGGAGCAAAATTACTCTTAATTGAGGCTTCTCATGAATCTCAATAAACCCTCAGCGGACTGCTCCGTTGAACTTTTGACCGAAACGCCAACAGTTTTTAATGTTTACTTTCTGTGGACAGCGTGTCATGAATGGGAACATTCATTCATTGCTTCAGTGCCTTGATGCATCAGACCCAAGGAGAATGTGGATACTGTACGTAAGCCCCTAGTCAAGGGAATGGTTGATGGAACCATGTTTTAGAAAGCTTGGAATGCTCACACACGTATAGGTTGGTGCTCTTTGTGTAATTCGGTATGTTCTTGGGATTGACAGAGAGTTATATTTATCAGCCCCACCAACAGCTGAGAACTGTAGTGGGTTGGGCTGATGCTGCTTGTATTCTTATGCTAATACTAGTTCCTCAAGAGGTGGTTGAGTTCTCCATGGTCATAAGTAGAGTTGTTTGAAGCAGGTTGAGGGAGGGAAGTGGGGAGCAAGAGGAGGCAGGTAGAGAGCCCTCAGAGACAGCATGGAAGAAAAAGACATGATGTTGTTGGGCTTTGATGATTCAAGAAGCGACAAGAAATCAGAGGACCACTTTAGGGAAAAAAAAAGAATCCCCTCTGCTCACAGTTGTCCTCAGTGTTTAGTGTTAGCGGTTGACATTTCTCTGTCAGTTAGTGTGCTAGGGATCACTGCCTAGACACAGCTCTCACGTCTCCCTTGGTAGCTCCTTGGAAACTTGCATGTTCCCTCTGCTCATTACCCCTCCTACTTGGGACCAGAATATCCAGATTAATCCTTGTGTGCACAGATGGGGCATGTCTGTTAGACAATGTGCACAGATTCATGAAGGCATTTGTGGCCAGATGGCGGAGTTCGGACAGAAGGGGTGTGCGCAAGCATGTGTGGAAAAGGAGTTGCCATGAAATCCCCTTGGAATTCTCTTCGTGTTCAGAGCCTTAACGAAGGTAGCGGCAGCTTGTATGTGGCTCATGGGGCTGATGGCTGAGCGAACAGATGCTTAAATTCAGAACTCCTTGGCACAATTTCTCGATTCAGAAGTAGGAATGGGCCAAGACGGCAACAGTTTCCACTGTACAAGCCAGAGAGGATAAGTCTGGATTTCCATTCTATTAGCCCTAGGAGCAGTGTGTATTATTTATGTTTCTCTTTTGATATACTTAGAATCAGTTCCTTGGTTGATGTTTCTCTCTTCGTGGACATTTTTTTTTTTTTGGCAATTGTAATGGTGGTGATGAGAGGTGGGACGAATACATATTTCTTCCTAAAGATCTGATTTACATGTATTGTTTCTTTTCATTCTCTCAAACATCCTTTTAGGAAGGCCTCTATAAATCAAATCGTTGGGCAAACTGAATCTCAGAGAGATGACACACACTGCTGAGGTCAGGTTGGGCAGGAGAGACAGGAACGAGGAGAGGCTGTACCATTGCTGTAGGGTTATGCTACCTGCCTGTTGTTGGTAAGGATCAGGGCTTCTTGATCTGCAACTGTTTTCACTATAGATGGGATATTAATGGTACTTTTCCTGATAGGGTGTGATCAAGGAAAAATGGGAAAAGTCCTATAATGTGTATGGTGCTCAGATTTCTACATTGTGCCATAGACCTGGGGTAATGAGCATCTTTTCCATTGTGCCATAGACTAGGGGTAATGAGTATTTTCTACATTGTATCATAGGTGTGACGTAATCAGAATTTTCTACATTGTGTCATAGACCTGGCTTAATCACCATTTTCTACATTGTGTCATAGACTCCAGGTAATCAGCAGACAGGCGAAGGTTCATCTGACTCATTATTTTGCAGGTTTCAGCCCTTGATGCTTCTGGCCTGTGTCCACACAGCTCCTCAGGACATGGTGTATGTGAAAGTGAAGCCAGTCACTTCTTGATATAAAGGAAGGAGCCATGGTCCTGCTAACCTCCTGGAAGGTAAATCCACAGTGACCTAAAGACTATCTACTAGGCCTTGCTTCTAAAGGGTCTTATAGCCTCCCAGAGTGACCTGAGGACTTAGTCCTTAGCACATGAACCTTTTGTGGAGACAGTCCAGACACAGTGTCCTTAGCATAGGAAAGTTGCAACCAACATGACTGGATTAGGTGGATTTTTATTGCTGTGATAAAGATCATGACCAAAGGTGACAGGAAGAGGAAAGGACATATTTCTTTTTACAGCTTGCGATGGCTCTTGAAGGGAAGTCAGGGGCAGGAACTCAGGGCAGGAGCCTTAGGATAAGAACTGAAACAAAGGCTGTGGGGGAAAATTGCTTACCACTTTGCGCTCAGGCTCATATTCAGGGCCTTTCGTGTTTCTCCTAGACCACTTTCTCAGGTTGAACTGGGTTCACCCATATCAATTATAATTAAAGAAATGACTTCCATATGGGCCATTCAGAAGCAAGAAAACTCAACTCAAGCTAGTGTCCTAGAGGGAGGGAAGCCTCAATTGAGAAAATGTCTCAATAAGGCCAGGCTATAGGCAGACCTATAGGGCGTTTTCTTAATTAGTGATTGAGGTGGGAGGGCTAAGTCCACTGTGGGTGGTTCTATCCCTAGGCTGCTGGCTCCAGGTTCCATAAGAAAACAGGCTGAGCAAGCCACAGGGAGCAAGCCAGTAAGTGGCACCCTTCCATGGCCTCTTCATCAGCTCCTGCCTCCAGGTTCCTGTCCTGATTGAGTTTCTGCCCTCGATGCTTTTGATAATGAACTTTTATATGGAAGCTTGAGTGAAATTAACCCCTTTCTTCCCAAGATACATTTGGCCATAGCGATGCTGTATCACAGCAATGGAAATCCTTATTAAGATGAGATACCATTCCATTTCCTGTTGGGATTTGAGTCCTTACCCTAATTGGGTGTATTTATGAGACCTCTGAATTCTCACAGCTGGTCAAAATATAGCTTTCTCTCTCTCCATCTCTTACACACACACACACACACACACACACACACACACACACACACTAAACACACATACCTTTTTTGGTATGATAGTGGATTTCCCTTGAAGGCTTTTGTAAGTGTCTTACCACTAAGCTGTATCCCGTGACTTTCTTTTTCCCTTCTTACTTTCATTAAGTTTGAGACAAAGCCTTAACTAAATTGCTGAGGCTGGCCTTGAACTCACCGTCTTCACGTATCAGCTTTTGAGTAGCTCAAATGGCAACCTGTGCCGCTAGGCCTTGCTCCTATTTTAAATAAGCATTCTGTACAAAAGGATTCTTAGCATAGAAGTTAAAATATTTATCTCAAGAGGCATCCAGATGTGAGGTTGATAAATTAGCGTTCCTTTGGCATTCACCAAATGGTTCTCCTTGTTTTAAGTTGAATCTTAAATTGTGAGGGTACGTCATCGTGTGACATACTGCCTCCAGAAGGCAGGCTGCCTCAAAAAATACTTAAAGGAGTTTCACAGAGAGATGGAAAATGTTAGTTGTGGCTTGGTGGAGCATATTTAAAGTTTTGCTTTTCATTTTTGGATGTGATGGTTTGTATAGGCTTGGCCCAGGGAGTGGCACTACTAGGAGGTGTGGCCTTGTTGGAGTAGGTGTGTCACTGTGGATGTGGGCTTTAAGACCCTTACCCTAGCTGCCTGGAAGCCAGTATTCTGCTAGCAGCCTTGAGATGAAGATGTAGAACTCTCAATTCCTCCAGCATCATGCCTGCCTGGATGCTGCCATGCTTCCTTGCCTTGATGATAATGGACTGAACCTCTGAACCTGTAAACCAGCCCCAGTTAAATGTTGTCCTTATAAGACTTGCCTTGGTCATGGTGTCTGTTCACAGCAGTAAAACCCATACTAAGATGTTGGGCTTTGGGCAAGTTGCTTCAAAAATCCTGATTTCCTTATTTGTGAAACGACTCTGATACTCGCCTCGTTAGCTTGTGACCATCATAGATAGTTCTATGTAGCATTAAGGTATACATGGAACGAGGCACTGGGTAGCTTTATAGGATTCTGAGCTTTCAGTGCTCTGAAATATCGCAGGAATGCATCAGCAGTCAGCAGTGTGGCACAGTGACTTGCTTAGTGGTAACACAAAGGTCCATACACTCAAGAAAGCAGCCCAGATACCTGAGAAAAATTAGGTGGCTTTTCATGTCACAATTACCCAACCCATCTCTGTTAGATTTATGTGTGTATGTGTGTGTGTGTGTGTGTGTGTGTGTGTGTGTGTGTGTTGGGAGCTTTTTCTGTCTCAGCAGTAAACACTAATTCTAAATTCAAACAGAGCTTTGGCTACAATGGAAGCAAACCCCACAGCAACTGTAAATAGCTTCCCACACTGTATGGGTGCTTTTGTAAATTCTTCATTGAGTGTTCACATCACGCTGTGGGTTTTGATCTATGGTTGTCCTTGATTTGCAGTAGGGAAAATGGAGGCCAGAGAAGTTAAGTCATGCTCCTTAGACAGCACAGCCATGAAACATCAAATACAGACGTGAACACAGCTGCCTAGCTTCTAATCTCACACTCTTAGTCATAATGCTGTGAAGTGGTGCTACGGGCTCTGATTTATTTTACTCTCTGGTTCAGACTTGTGTAGACAAACTGGGAAGTTCAGGAATTACAGAATATAACAATGTTATATTCGCAATGGATTCTGGTTCTGGTTCTACATTTCAGCATTATTTTCTCACTACTCAACATCTCTTTTATTTTCATTACACACACTATAAAATAATTGTTCATTTTCCCAGTGACTACATTTTCCAATCTACTAGCACCCCAAGTAGGATAAAGACATTGGTCAATATAGTACTCTTATTCCAGTTTCTTGCTTTGTACCTACACTTATTGGCATATGAAGTGTGAGCATATTACCAGATTACTGACTGGCAATCAGGTTTCCATGATGCACAGTCAGACCACAATCCTGATGGGCATAGGATTATGCCAGGAGAAATCATGAGGTGAGGGACAGTGTTTAGATGACTTATAGTTTGCACTGGTTCAAGCTTCTAAAGGTTACTTGCCAACCCCTCAGGCTTTCCCCATTAACCCACCATGTCCCAGATCTACACCAAACCCTCAGAATATCCATTCTGTTATACTCCCCCACCCCTAGCCTCCTTGTCGCTGTTTGTACAGTAGAGAAATGGACCTGGCATATGATAGCATCTTTTGCTTTTTTTTTCTCATCCCCTTCCCAGTGGGTCAGAAGGTTTTATATTTTCTGTATAATACTTGTAGTCTTTCCAGTGTCCAACTTCCCAGGGCATGCTGAGTTGAAACCTCAGTTGAGCTGATGCTCCCCGAGTCCTGGCCCTGTCCTCTGAGGGGCTCCTAAACCCCTCCTGAACCAGTGCCAGCTGACAGTTCCTGTGAGCTGCACCATCAGCAAGCCACTTCTGCCTCTGGGATTCCTCTCTTCTTTCCCTACGTGGAGATGGATTATTGCCCTTTGGCACTGACTTAGGCTGTTTCTTTGTAGAAATAGAAATGTAATGGTTTCTGGACTAGTGGCATGGCTTCCTGTGGAAACTCTGTATATAGGTTCAAATCATTTGCTTGTTGACAGGATCCCATTTTCTGTTTTTTTCTCTGTGTCACCAGTTTCCTTTTACACGTGTGTTTTAAACAGTGTCTATCTACTGAATAATGCTACCTGTCCCACATTATAACATCACAGAAGTTTTAATTGATTCTTTTTTTTTTTTTACTGTAGTCTGGAAAGGTTAAATATATATATCTCCAGCACTGTGTTCTGGGGAAAAGATTTATCCGTGTTATAAATATCAGTCAGAAATTTAAGTAGTTTTTACTTCGAACATTAATATTTTAATTCCTCAGATCTTTGGCGATGAGAATGATTTTGGCATTCATTTAAACAGAAAATAAATTGTATAATAATAATGAAACCAAGGCACGAGGCCTGAACAATAAATCTGCAAACTTTGTGTCTGGAAAACCCCAAAAGTTCAGGATAAATGCGCTGTCACTGATACCTAGCCCACTGGAGGAGGAATAAGAAATTCTTTTCTTCTAGCTAAAGCCCACTCTATCCATGCAGAGTCATTGCTTCTGAGGTACTGAGGGGCTGGGCAAGTGGAGTGACTCTTCAGGGAGCTATCGCCGGGCTCATAGCTACAGGAAGAAGAAACATTGTGATCGTTAGGGTAGGCTCGTGAGGGCTGATGAAATGGGCACTCCTCTGGAATTTGATACATGCTGTCATTCTTGCTTGCGTTTGCAGGGTTCTGGCAGTGTAGAGTGACTAAGAAGCCTTCTTTCAAACTTGTCTGGTTATTGTCACAATGACCTTCTCCTCCCAAGTTTACTGGCTCTGGCTGTTCCTTGTGGCCATCTTCCTGTGTGAGCTGAGAAGTCTCTTATGTTACAGATAACAATGTTATTTTTAAATTTTAATATGTGCGTGTATGTCTATGTGGGCATGCATGTACATGTATATCTGGGTCCATGTCTAGACTAGAAGAGGGCATCAGATCTGCTGGAACTGGAGTTACAGGCAGTTGTGCACTGCCTAGCATGGGTGCTGGGTACTGAACTCAGTTCCTCTCTAAGAGTAGTAAATGCTTTTAACCACTAAGCCACTTCTCCATGCCCATATACCTTATAATTTTTAAAGGGTTAACAAAGTTGAAATTTACTTTGATGTCATTTGTAAATAAAGGTTGGCTGATTTTTTTTTACATCTTCAAACTGCATTTATTTATTTATTTATTTATTATTTTTATTATTGCTTTTATTTTTTTTTATACTCCAGCTGTTGGCCCTTCCTCAAAGTTCCTCATTCCATTTTTCCTACCCAGTCTCTAAGAGGATGTCCTCCTCCTTTCCCCCAACAGGCTTCCCGGTTCCCTGGAGCCTCAAGTCTCTGGAAGGTTAGGTACATCTTCTCCCACTGAGGCCAGA